TGTTTGCCCATGACAGTCTTCTTCTGTGTCACGCAGTGGGCCTGGCTGAGGGTGACTGCAAGGGGGGCTGGGAGGGAGAAGAGGAAGAGGGCAGCCCAGGAGAAGCTGGCACACACTCATCAGAGAGCTACCCTGAGGAAAAGAAGTAACCAAATGCCTTCCACAGATAACTGGCCTCTCCCATTGTCCCTAGACTGCACCCAGGGTCTCTAGGTCAGTGTGTGGTCTCCAGCCCTGGTGGGTTGGGGTGGAGCTAGGAGCTGGCACACCGTGGGGAGGCCTGCAGAACTGCAGGCACATGTCAGGAACATGTTGCAGCTTGAAGGCAGGGCTGGGGCAGAACTGGGACCCACCCCTGCTGCCAATCTGCCATCTTATCACAGAGGGCTGGGTCAAATCAGAAGGCCAAATGGGGAGGCCGAGTCTTGCCTTTCCTTCTCTCTGCCTCCCTAGACAGGGTCAAGGCTCTCAGTTTTCCCAAACACCCAACCCAGAGCCAATCTGCCCCAGAAGTCAGAGAATACCCTTCTATGCTCCTGGTGAGTGCGAGGGGCAGGCTCTCTGGGACATCCAGCCTGCCCAGAGGTTGGCAAGGGAACCAGGTACCGGGAAATGCAGCTAAACCTGTCAGTCCCTGCTTTCCCCCTCTACCTGAGATGACAGGGACCCTCCCAACTGGAGATCAACAGGCCTGCCCAGGTGACCAGCCCAGGATGCCCAGGAAAACTGCAACCTCAGTGAACTCACTCCATGGCTCACTCCCATCCYCTCACCCCGGCAGTAGGCTCTGTTGTCAGAGAAGCAATTGAAAATAGTCTAAGCATAAGCAGCTTAGTGGGTTCCAAGAAGGGGATGAGTAGGGTGGGGCTGGGGTGACCCTGAATCTTCTCAACCTGGCCTTGGGGAGAATCAGATGGCTAAACGAAGAGAAAGAACGGGGTGCACAGAAGTTCCATTCACCTTCTCTTCCAGGGCAGGGGCCACTTAAAGGTGTTCCAATGCCTTTGACCAATGAGAACCTGCCCCACCCTCTCAGCTCCAGGGCTGCAGTGTTCTCTGCAAACACAGGCACAGACAAGACAGCCTAGACAGCCTGCAGGCCCGCCCAGAGCTCCGCACAGCCTGACTGCTTGTATCCATAGGACACACTGCAGGCAGAAGTGACATTTCCCAGAGACCCCAGATCTAGGGTAACCCCCGCTTTCCTGCCTACCTCCAGCCCAGAAGATTCCCTTTGCAAGCCCAAATGAACAGCAAGCCTCCTCAGACCACCCTGGAGTGCTATACCTGGACCTCTGGAGGCCAAATGATAAAAATGGCAGTTTCCAGAGAGACCTGACCACAGACAACTCCCTTTCCCTACTCGCTGGCCCCTCTCCTGGGATATCTATTCTCTCTTGCTGATGCCTAATCAAGCTTCAGGTCTCACCAGGACCTCGCTTAGTAGGTGAAGCTTTTCTGGCCACTACCCTGGATTAATAAACTGGTTGGATGGGTCTCATCTGCACTCATTTTTTTCATGCCTGCTTTCATTCCATAAATATATAGCCTACCAGGGTGCCGCCCTGTGCTAGGGAATTGGGGTTCTGGCAAGGGTGACCTGTGGCCACCGGAGGTTCATCAAAAAGGTTGGGGAAAACCCCTTAGGTTTGGAGGAGGCGCTGCAGCCCCGTATCCAGAGGGCTGCACTCCCACACCAACACCTCCTCCTGGTTCTACCGTCTCCCCCATTTCTATGCCCGTTCTTTTCTCGATGGCTGCGCCCCAGCTGAGGTTTTGGGAACGTGTGTGGAAGGGGGATCACGGTGCTGCGTCCCCTCCTCTGGGAAGATTTTTCGACCGCAGCTAGGTRGGGCTGCGCAAACAAAAGCTGTGCCTCAGGGACAAAGGCTGAAGGCTGGGGACAAAGACTGCACGCTGGGACAAAAACTGCGCTCAGCTGCTGCGTGCGCGTGCGCATGCGCGTGCGCGTGGGTCCGCTGCGTTCCAGGCCGCAGACCCCCCCACCAGCCTTTAGTCTAGCAAACAAATCCACTGTTTAAATCCTAGGAAGGCAGAAATTCTCGTCCCCAAACAGTCTCCGCTCTGGGGTGGGGGAAGGGCGGAGAGCGCTCCGGGGATTCGGGAGGGCGACGCAAGTGGAGGGGTGGGGGCAGGCTCCCAGCCCGCGGGGCTGCGCCTCACGGTCCCGGCTCGGAGCGCCGGGGAAGGGCCGCATGCCTCTAAATAGCCGCGGTCCTGCTGCAGCGGGGGGCGGGCGCCAAAGAGCCCCGCGGGACCCGAGCAGCCTTTCTGCGAAGGGCCCCGCATTGCGGCTGCGCTGCGGGCGGGCGTGTGTGTGTGTGCGCGCGGGCGCGCGTGTGTCTGTGTGTGCACGCGCGCCGCCGGCCGCTGTGCCCCACTTTGCTCAGAGCTGCAGTCCCCTCGCCCCCACCCTTTCCAGCACCACTCCTCCCTCGCTGCTGCACACACGTCTCGCTTCCTGGCGAGCTCTAAAGGAGAGTGTGCCCAGTAGCCGTGGGGGCGGGAGGGACTGAGCCAGGGAGCTGCAGAGAAGGGAGGGAGGGCTGGGGAGAGGGGAGAGGGGAGAGAGAGGCTTACCACTGCCCGGCCACTGCAGCATCTGCCCCGACAGAAAGTTCAATGCCAGGCCAAGAGGTTGGCCAGAGACCCGGGACCCTCGCCCTCCTGCTAGCTGTCCCAGCTGTCCCTTTTGCGCTGGAACAGATTAGCGCTGAGGCTGCGGCGCTGCTCCCCTCCCCCACTGACAGTCAAGCTAGAGAAAAGCTGGGAGAAATGGTCCTAGGGTGGGTAAGTCACTTGTATTCATTTAGGGGAAAAAGAATAATGAGGGAAGCTCCACCCCCAGCCAGGTGGGGTCTCAGTTTCTCCACCCCCTCCTCCTCCCCCTCGCATTGCTGGAAAGGGCACCTGGCTAAGACCAAAGGGAAAGGGAAGAACACTGCCCCAGGGGCCGGGAACTGCTCTCTGCAGGGCAGCTGGGCCACAGTGGCTGGCTGGCTCTCTCTCCTGAGCCAGRCTGGCCCCATCTACTTGAGCAGAGTCCCTTGAGCTCCAAACCACACGGAGCTACGGTTCTAACTGCACCCTGACTGGTGGCAACACAAAGCCGGTGGTGCTCAGATGCCCAAACCTTGTTGCCTACCATCTCTCCTGCGCAGCCTGCCAGGGGCCTAGGGATGCTTACTTCAACTTGGTGGCCTACAAAGGTCAGAGCTCAAAGTGCTGGTAGAGGGGACTGCTGTGGAACAGATGTCGAGCTTGGCAGCAGTCTCATTCCCCAGGCCCCAGGACTGTGTTTGTCATGAGCAGTTAAGGCAGGTCCCCTTCACCAGTGACCTCTGGGTATGGCCGCCTCTCCAGGCATGCAGGGGCCAGTGGATGTTTCCTGTTCTCTGAGGCACTGGTTAGCAGAGACTAAGCTGTCTGATAAGGCTCCACCTCCAGGCAGGGCTCTGCACGGGTCCCAACCTCCTTCAGTCCACCCTAGTAAGGCTGATTGGGTCACTCAGGGAGAGCCAGGCCTCTGCAGAGCTCCCTGCTCCATTCCCCATTTGTTCTGCAAAACTGAAACCGGATTTCCTGAACGGGAGCCCCTGGTCACCCTGCCCTTCTCTGTTACATACTGCAGGTCATCATCACCACAGCTCTGCTGGCTCCAGCCTCGGCCAGGGATGCTGCCAAGGCCAGCACGGTGCTCCCAGGCAGCCATGCCAGGGTGCAGATGCCTGCTGACCCAAAACCACCTCTGGGAATAGCTCCTGAGGGTTCACTGACCAGAGTGGCTGCCAGGCACCCTGTCACCACTGGTATAGGGGCTGGGATAAGGTTGAGGTTTGCACACGGAGAGTCTAGAAAGCTGCCCAGGGTGTGCACAGACAGCCAGAAGCCAGGAGAAGGCAAAGGGGTGACTACGGGTAGGGGAAGGATACCTTGTAGAAGGCCCAAGGTCAGCTAGCCAGGGCCCCAACACCTCAGGGCAGCTGAAGTCTCCTGCAGGGTAACTACAGACTGCTGCCTCTATGGGGTGTCCTAACACTGAGATCTGTCCGCTGTGCAGAGGTCAGGCTGAGCTCACCCTCCCAACCCCCACCCCGCCCGCCAAGGGCTCTCCAGCTCTGGGGCTTCTGGGAAACAAGCCCAGGTAGAGGAGGGCAGCCTCTGACCCTGGAGTCCCCAGCCTGTCTTTGACAGCTTTTCTTTGTAGAGCCTCTGGTACCCCCCGGGATGTGGGCAACCTCTCACCAACTCCACAGCCAAGGGTAGCAGCTCTGGGAGCCCTTGTCCCTCCTTGGCCAGCAGGCCCTGCCTCCTTCCCTGCAGCACAGTGGGGCTCCCAGCACCCTTTGGAACAATCATGGGCCTAGGTTTGTCTCAAAGGCTGTATTAGGACAGAGGTGTAAGTAAAAGCAACCAAGGAGCAGGGGTCAATGAGTATGTGTGTGGGCGTTGTGGGGGTGGGGGGCGAGAGCTCCCAGAGGAAGGTTTGGCCAACTGTCCCTAAAAGGCAGACACACTCCACACACGGCCCAGCAGTCTTCCGACCTGAGCTGCTGCCCCAGCCTTTCACACTGCTTCCTGCTCTAGGAGGTTTGGGTTTGATGATGCTTCGGGAACTCTCTTTGCTTCCAGAAGGAAAGGGGGAAGAGCAGGTGCTTGGACTTGCTGCTAGGGGTTTGTCCAAAGAGGGTCCTTTTAGCTCCTGGGGTTTGTTTAGCCACTCAGATACCCCGGCAAGAGTGCCAGATACAGCTCACATACTTCTCTCAGGGAGACACCAAGTTGAAGATGTGGCCAGCAGATGGCCAGATACAGGGCTGCCAGGTGGCATAAACACTTGTAGCCTGACAGTGAAGACCCAGCTGATCCTCCCTTGGTGAACGCTGACACCCCTTCCTGCCCCTCTCTGGGTGCTTGGATGTTTTCCTTTGCACTTCGTGTATTAGGGCCTGGCCAGGTGACCTGGATGCCATTCTTACCGTCCAGTGACAGCCAGTCGTGCTGGGAAGAAGGGAGTGTGGGCAGAGCCCGAGCTTTGTATTCAAACACCACCGAGTTGGAGATGATCTGGTTGTTGAAGGCAACTTGTAGGGTCACAAGACCCGTGTCATGGGCTGAAAGCGAAAGGCAGAGAGGTCAGGGTCAAGGGCACATGGGCAGCCATCAGCCTCCTCCCCACTAGCCTTCATCAGTTAATGTCCAGTTCCTTTTAACAGCAACCTGTGTCCACCTGTTCCTCAAGGAGCCTTCTCTGGCCCCAGACTCAGCAGGTGCCTGGGATCCCCGTGAGGGCCATGGGCTCCCTGCTCCCTGATGACGGCAGAGGTGTGGGCTTGGTACAGCCTGGCTGAATGAGTGAGTGACACCTTCCCCTCTCCCTTGTCCCATCCATCCTAGGAAGGGTACAGGCATTTGCTTTGGACTTTGTGCTGATTTCTCTCTCTCTCTCCTACCAGCTTGCCCTGGTTCTCTTAATGTGATATATTTTGAGAAGTTCTTCCACCTCCCTGCTGAAAGCGAGTGCTTTGGAGACACCTTTTCCTCTGGTCCCAGTCGGCGTGGGATGCTGTGGACCCAGTGGGTGTGACCTGGGGTGCTGGTATACAGCCTGTACCTCCTTCTGAGAGCCAGAGGGTGTGCTTTGGGTAGGCAGGGCCCTCATGGGTCTCATTAGCTACTCTGGCCCCAACACAAGGGCTCAGGAATACTGGATACACTGACCAAATGGATTAGATGTTCTCACTGGGAGGAAGTGGAAAGCCAGCCCGTGGTGGGGACCTGCTTCACTTCTGGGATATCAGTATCTTGGAAGTTGGCCTAATGTGGCCCCCCTGGGCAATGGTGGGTGTGCGGGCCACCCCACCCTGCCAGGCCTCATCCCCTGGTAGGAATCATGGTGAGGTACTCTTTGCACTGCTTTTCCAAAGCCCAGATACTGACCTACAGGGCCTCCCCAGGACGGATTTCCAGGGAGGACACACGGGGATCACATTACTGTTTTGGGCTCTTGGTTTTCAGAAGCTCACAGGCCCGAGGAAGCTGTCCAAGTCAGCTGCTCCTGGGGACAGGGGAGAGCTCTGGCTTCCCTCTCAGGACAACTGCAGGTTCCACTTCCGATGGGAAAACCAGCTCATGGGCCTGTGGCCTCTGTCCAGCCTAGGTGAACATAGTGAGGTGGTGGTCACCTCGCTACTGTCCCCAGTACAGGCCTTGGCTATGTCGCTGTCCAAGAGTGACCAGTGGTTTTTCCCTGTGCTTCCCACCCTGGCTTGGCCCCATGGCTCCTGGCCACACATGAACCAATGGGCTCCATGGCAGGGGGTCACGGGGGACCTCCCACAGCATCTCTCTGGGCAGGGATCGCCAGCCAAGTCCAGAGACTCTTGTGGCTTTGACAGCATCCCTGGGCAGATCTCCAAGTTCGTGGTCACTTGCCTCCCCTGGAGATTTGCCTGGTTTACCAATAGGAAGGAAAGGCTGTCCACACAACTTCCCTCAGCTCTGCCTCAGCTGGCCCGGGGCCCCTGGGCAGCTGGAGGCTTCTCTGGTGCCAAATGTCCCAGTGCAGGGCCCTCCACTGCGGCTCTTCCATCATCCTGGCACATGCACAATCTGCAGCGAAGCTGAGTGGTGGCGGCCTCCCGGGCATTCCTGCCTTCTCCAGAGATGCAGTGCAGAGGACCTGTCACAGCGCCCCAGGTGCCAGCCCTCACGGGGAGGCCTCCTGGACTTGCTCTCCCCCTGCCCACTCATGCAGTCCACCGTCCATCGGGTTGAGAATCCATCTCTGCTGCGTCTGCCATGGTTTCCTGCCTAGACCTGTGCACTGGCCTCCTGCTGAAGGCAGAGCGGGGGTGCCCGATCTCCCCGGGATGGGGGGTTCAGCAATGCCCTTTGGGAAGCCAGTGGGGTGTGCTACCCAAGGGGGCCTCTTCCTAAGTCACTCACGATTGTCCCTTTGCCCTCTGCCTCCCTACGGTCCCTTCTCCCACACACCCAGAACCATCTTTAAAAGACATAATTTAGATCAAGTCACTCCCCTGCTTAACTAATAGCTTCCCATTGCAAGTGAAATAAGTCAGACTCCTTCTTATTGGGTTGGGCATGGTCTGTCTTTGGTCCTTCCATCTCCTCGAGTGTTACCATGTTGGAGGCTTCCTGCCCCGTGAGCATTCCACAGCCAGACCTCTCCCTGCCTCGCCCTCTGCCTGGCTGGAGGCCTTCTCCTACCCTTCCTGTGACAGGCTTCACCTCGTGGTTCCTCAGCCTCCTGGGCGATGGGCTTCATCATCCTCCAGAAGGATACCAGGCCTTGGGTCCGGATCTTCCCTTCTTCTCTCCCTGTGACTTCCTTCTCACTACTTTCCCTGGTCATTTTCGTTATTTTCTGTCTCTCTGCAGCAGAATGTGAGCTCCCAAAAGCTAGGACCCAGTCAATCCTGCTTTTTATGCCCAAGGCCAAGGTCGGTGCCTGTCATCACATCTGGTCACTCAGTAACTCTCTGTGGAGTTTCTTCAAAACGTGTGCTTTCAGCTTGTTTGGAATCTCATCTTTTGCCTCTGATGACCTCCTGGGGACCCAGAGTAGGCTGCCTGTCTCCTGAGCCCAATGGCCTCCTTCCCACAGTTCCACTCTTTGCTCAGTACCCTGACTCAGCAGCTTGCTCCTGACCCTGGAGGAGCCCTGGAGTCCTGCAGGAGATGAGTCCAGACCTGTGTCTCCTGCAACCAGAGATGGTGTGGGATCTGCCTGGGCAGAACCCTGTCCTTGGTCAAGATCTGTTTTACCTGGGCAGATGTACCAGGCTGGTGGGCAGCAGCCAGCTGTGCTTCCAGTATGTCCTCCTCCTGCTCCATTCCCAGCCCCTAAGGTGGCTGGCCATGCTCACCAGCCAGAGTCCAGTGAGGCTCTGGCTCTAAGTGTTAATCCTTCAAGTTCAGCCCCCAGGGAGACTCAGAGGTGATGTCCCCAAGCAGTCAGTGTCATCTACCAGGGCAGTGGTTGGTGTGTGTGACCCTGTCTTTCATGGACCGGGTGCTCTTTGGGGTCAGGAGCCTGCTTGGGGTTGGGTCCTATTCCTGGCTCCATTCTATGCCTCARCCCACTACACAGCAAGCAGAAGACACCCAAAAGCTATTTGGCWAATGAGGAACTGGATGACACGTGAATGGACACTTCTGGAACATGTTTCAAGTTGGCCCTCAAAACAGAGATGTCCAAGGTGGATGTCCTTCATGGGGTGAGCTATATAAAGTAGGATGGTGGTCGAGCAGAGGGTTCTACTCAGTCTTCTTGGAGTCTGTGGCTTCTGGCCTGAGATGCATTATGCCAGAAGATCTTGGACATTCAGGAGAGATGGTGGCCTGAGTTGAGACTCTGCCACCAGCTCTGGGGATGTGGATGTGCCAAGGGGCCAGAATTGCCTGCTGAGGCTGGAACATCCCTGGTTCCCGCCCTTCACTCTCTTTTGGGAAGGAAGAACAAAGGCCTCACCGATGGGCATCTTCTTGAATTGAGCACCTGAGCCAGGTGCTTCCTGACCCCTCTCTCATGTAATGTTCTCTCACCCATCTCAGGTGAGTTTTAAAGATGTAGAAATTGGGCGGCAGAGAGGCCAACCTCCAAGTTAGTCACCCAGATCGTATCTAGTTGTCTGGAATGTACCCAGCCCCCAGGGTTCTCCAGGTCCTGACCTGGGACATCATCTAAAGAGCACATAAATGACAGTTTATTTATTCTTTTGGAGGGGCCTGGTAGCTGAGGACAGGCAAGATCTGGATCTCTAGCCAGGCAAGAACCAGGTACAGGAAGTGGCGTCTATTTATAGGCCAGGCCAGTCCCCTCCAGCAGCAGGGGTCAGTGAACGTTCATAACATGCTGCCTTCTCTGCTGCACTGTCAGGACAACCCGCCCAGGGCTGGCATCCAGGATGGCACTATCCAGGCCCAGCAGGGCTGCTGAGAGTTCTTGGGAGCCAGGCTGATGGGGGCAGCAGGTGGAGGCCACCATGAGCATCAGCTTGGGATGTGTGGGGAGACAGAGGTGCTGAAAGAGGTTCAGCCAGAGGCTGGGAGGTGAGGCCAGCCTCTGCAGCAGGGGCAATCTGCTCTGGTGGGCTGCAAGGTCAGACCRAGAGAAGAAAAGGAAGAGGGCTCAGTGTGAGCTCAGGAGCCTTGTGCTGGGGGACACAGCAGAGAGGCAGACACCAGGGCAGCCAAGGCACAAGTTGAACCATCCCAGGTGGAATCTGGGGGACAAGCCAGCTCCACTCCTGCTGGAGCCCCCACTCCTCTCCCCACCCAACCCTCTACTGGAAGCTCCATGGCTTCAGATGACAAGGGGTGGACCCTCTGCCCTTCATTATCCCTGCCTCCTCGTTCTGCTTCCCCTGTTCACTCTCCTGGGTGAACACAGAGATCCTCCCAAACCCAGCCCAGGGAAGAGAAAATGAGGGCTTTTGAAATGACCTTCAAACTTCTAGAGACTCAGTCTTTCCTTCACGGACTTTCATTGCCCTTTTGGGTTAGGCCAGGCACTACTGTTGGCCCTGAGGACAATGGTGATCAGGAAAGACACTGCCCCTGCCCTCGTGGAGCCTGCAGACTGGTGGGGAGGTAGAAAGGTCAGAAGTCAAGGGCAAGTTGACCAGACAAGACACCAAGCTAGGCAGATAATGAAGAAGTTTGGGTGAGGGCGGGGTCAGAACCATGGGACGGCATGAGTGGCTCCTGGCCAGCTTTCTTGGGGGCTCACTGAGGCTCTGAAATTAGGAGGACATCATGCATGTGCCTTCTCCTGGTGGATGCAGGATGGAATCCTCAAGGACTTTGTGCTCATTATTCTAGTGTAGCAGCCCAACCCCACAGAGCCTACCCACTTCAGAACATCTCTGTGCCCCGGACAACTGAGCCTGTGGACGCATGGTCTATGCTCTCTGAGTTTCTGTTTGGCTTGGGCTGTGGCAGGCATGGGCACACCTTGCTGTGGGGGTAGCCTCTGGCCCACAAGCAGCTCCTGTCCAGCCCCTGGCTCCAGCTGCAGGTGATAACAGCTTCCTGCTGAGGCCAGTCCTGGGTACATCACCTGGCTTACTGGCTTCCGAAGTCATCTCCTTGTTATGTTTTCTTCAAGATTCCAGTTGAGCATATATGGTGTCACCATCCGATATGGGGTCCCCCAAGTTCAAACCTTTGACATTATAATAGACTATCTGGGGCCCACTTCTTCACCGCTGAGGAAACCAGAGTAATGACATGACTTTCTCAAGGTCACCCCGGAGCCAACTTGAGTCCAACACTCTTGGCCCTTCCAAGCCCTCTGCTAGAGGTGGCCCTCTTACCTGGGCAGTAGCAGCGCAGCACCCCAGGCTGAATCAAGGATGCAGGCACTGAGATCTGGTCAAACAGGCAGCTGTAGTTATTGCTGGCTTCTTGCCACGGACCTGTGATGAGGACTTTTACTCCTCCCTGAAGGGAACAGAGAGGGACAGGGATGGAGCAAGAGCCATAGAGGGATGCAGTTCCAACCAGGGAGGAGGGACGGGGCAAGCTGCATAAGGAAGGCGCCCGCAGCTGCCTGCTCAGCTGAAGGTCTGCTGGTTAAACATGCGGATTTCCAGGTCACAGCCCCATGGAGTCCAGGAAGCCCTGACTTTTGAGAGGCATTGTTCCAGGACAAGGGCAAGAGCAGGGGTCCTGGAGCTCTCCCCTGCCCCCCAGGAGGTCCCAGCATCCAGTACACTGACCCTGTTCCGTGAAACTCAAAAGTTTCAGGCAGTAGGGAGCAGAATGTTTTCAAGAATTTCCAGCCCACGATGCACCTGAGAACTTGTCAACCCAGGCATGGAGAAGGAAGCAGAGGGGACAGTGGGGACTTGGTGTCGTTCACTTGAGAGATGGAGGAACTCTGAGTTTTGAAAGCAGGTCTGAGTGTCTTAGTGTCTCCCCAGGGGCCAGAGTTCTTGTGGGAAATTGAGGGGAGACCCAGGATCTCCAGGACAAGGTGGGATACAGCAAGGGGAGGGGCCCAGCAAGGGGAGGGAGGGAGCAAGACCGCAGAAACAGGAAAACCGGACAAAAGGCTCAGAGCTGGAGGGGCTCAGAGACTGACTACCCCGGGAACTCAGACTTTGGGGCACGGAGCTGGGGCCTGAGCGCCACCAGCTCACAGTGTGCGAAGCCACGGCCCCGCACACGCAGGCAGACAGCCCCTGGCCGCGGCCACGCACTGCGCAGGCAGGCACGACCCTGCAGCCTGGCTGGGAGAAGCTTCGGATGACTTTCCCCAGCGACAGGCGAGTGATCCCGCCCCCAGGGACCCCAGGGCGCAGGGCTGGGGAGCCTGGGGAAGCCTCGGTGCTCCCTGACCTCCTGCTGGGACCAGCCGGGGTGGCCGCAGAGCCAGGAGAGTGGCCTCCCGTCCCGGAGCAGGGCAGACCTGCTTCAGGGCCCTGGTTGCCGGCAGTGATTAATAGCACCTCCTCACTACCCAGCCCCGGAGGACGAGGCGCTATAGGTCCCCTACTTACGGCTTAGCCGAGAAGAGGGGCTGGTCACTCAAGGTGGAGGGAGGCTCTCCCCGGGGGTGCAGAGGGCGGGGGCGCAGGCCTCTGGCTCTCCTGACTAACCTTGGGTGGACCCACCCCAGAGGCTCATCCACCCCACCCCCAAACAAGTAAACACCTTTCCCCGCAGGGGGGCGGAGAGTGGCTGGTCAGGGCGGAGTGCGCCCCCTGGTGTCCAGGCTGGAGAAGGCTGAGAGGCCAGGAGGCAGGGCCAACAGGGGTGGCCTGAACCCTTTTCCCCACCACTCCAGGACGCGGCGAGCTCTCCCCGCTGCTGCCCCAGGCCAGCCAGACACTCGCTCCTGCTCTGTCACTCGTTCTTGCTTGGTAGCTCCTTGGCCTTGACCATCCCTGTCCCTGTCCCAGCCTCCACACAGATCTTGCTGCCCAGGTCCCCACCTCATTGTTCCTGGAGCACAGAGCTGGCCCAGGGGTGGCCACAGATCAGGAGCAGCTGGAGGCCTTTCCAAGGAGGAGGGGCCTCCCTGGAGCCGGGCAGAAGAGACCTGCTCTCAGGGCTGAAGGGGTTCATGCCCCTTGCTCCTGGGCTGTGCTGGCTTTGAAGAGGTCACTTCACCAATAGGCAGCTAAAGTTTGGGGCCAGTGGAGGGGGCTCAGGACTGAGACTCAGAAGCAGAAGGTCTATCCCTGCCCCTCAGTAGCTGGGTGTCCTCGGGCAAGTGGCTTAGCCACTCTGGGTGGCATTTTATCCTTTGGGGCCATTCTGGCCCTGACATTGCTTGGTTTTGATATATGGCTCCATAGGAAGAGTTGGAGCTTGAAGTTGTGGGGCAGGGTCCCAGGAGCGCATGCCCGGGGTGGGGTGGGGTGTTCCAGAAGCACCAGAAGGCCATCTCAGGGAACTACCCCCCTAAATTCTGGAGGTGCAAGAGCAGTGGTTTCAAAAGGCCAGAGACAGTTACCATGGAAAAAGGAAGAAGAAGGAAAGAAAAAAAAAAAGATAACCCCCATCTGCAGCTGCTAGCATGACGCTGGGGCTGTTGCCGGGAACAAAGAACTGCAGAAATTACTGGAGAACATCAGGACCTTCTCCATGGAAACTGCCGCAGGGCGCCTCAGCATCCAGCCGTTCAGGGGATGGTTCCCATAGCAACCGCTAGCCTGGTTGTGTGGAATGGTGTGATGAGCCTGCCCCAGGGCTCTCATTGCCGCATCTTCTGCCTGGTGCGTCAAGAGTCAGTGGTGGGAGGTGACGCAGGAGGGATGGGTGGGGAGGGAGCAGTAGATGCCATCTGAGGCCTCCGTGTCCTGGGAGTCCTGAGATAAAGGACTCAGGTTTCTGATGCGAATGGGGTTGACGCTGGGGCACAGGGGCAGTGCTGTGGGGGTGGGGGAGTGAGAGAGTGTGTGTTGGGATGCAGCTGCAGCTGGCGGTGGGCAGAGAATAGGAGAAATGGGAGCAGTGCTGGGGAGGGAGGGACGCCCAGAGAAGAGGCAGCAGGATGGCCCAGCTGTGGCACTCCCGCTAAGTGTGTGCTGGGGAACCTTGCGGTTGGAGCTGGGTGGAGCAGGAAGGAACACTGAGTTCAAGACTAGGAGGAGCGGCCCCAGAGACACGCCTTGCTGCAGAGCCCCCTCAGAGCTTGGCAGAGCCTGGCTGCCATGGGGCTCCGGATGCAGTCAGCGCACAAACAGTGTCTTTATTGGCTGTGGAAGGGGACAGGATGTGGGGTGAAGATGCAGGTGAGGGGGCTGTGAGGGGACTCAAATGTCAGGGGAGAAGGTACTGTCTCTTTCTGAGTGGAGGACAGGGTGACCACTTCTGTTGGCCTGGAGCCAGTGTCCTGGGGGAAGAGCTTGGTGAAGAGCAAGTGGCCATCAGAGCTGCTGGCGGCCTCTGAGGCTGCACCATGTGGCCACTCTGGAGCCCTAGAGGGTCATTTTCCAAATCAAATGACTGCTTTTGCTTCTGGTTAACGGGAAGCATCAAGAGTTTCTGGAAAATCAGGGCTGGATGCTCTCGACTGCCGTTCTTGGCCGTTCCTGGGGCGCCCTCGTGTGGCGAGCCACTGAACTGACTCTACAAGGTTCAGTTCAGGGATGTGCAGGTTGCTGAAGAATGGAGGGACCAGGCCTGCTAACACCCCTCTGGCCAGAGCTTGACAGGCCCAAGGAGGCTGGAGTGTGGCTGGATCCAGCTGGGGACCTGTGCTCACAGATCAGGAACTGGGGGAAGAGGAAACTGTCCCCTCCTGGCTCCTGCAAGATGCGTGCTCCAGGGAGCCTGCAGACATCCTGAGGGCCAAATCTCCCAGGTCCTAGGACCTGGCTTGCCCAAGTCCACTCCTCTTAACAGTAAATTTATAAGGAAACCGAGGTCCAGAGAGTCAGGCCTCAAAGAGTCAGATCAGAGGACAGCTCGGTCTTCCCACCACACCCAGTCCTGGCCCTCCCTTCGGATCCCTGCAAATGCTCATGTGGGGGCAAGATGCCTGTTCAGCCTTTGGGTGGGAACCGTGGTGGGCACAATGAAGATGCCATTGACCTCAGTGTCTCTGACAAGAGCAGGGGCTCAGAAGCGGGGTCACACTGAGCTGCACCAAGAGAAAGCTCTCACCAGGGGGTGGGACCAAATGGAGATGGACAGAAGGGGCAGGTGCATTGCAGAGTGAGTCTTCACACCAACACAATGTGATATTAGTGCTCCAGTTTTATGTTTTTGTTTTTTAATGGTGTTGGGGATTGAGCTCAGGGCCTTGTGCATAGTAGGCAAGCACTCTACCAACTGAGCTAGATCCCCAACCCCTAGTGCTCCAATTTTAGAGTCAGAGAGGCTGCTGCTGCTTTGCCCAAGATCATCAGATAGTAAGTGTGGAGCCAGGCTGAATTTAGACTGTCTGGCCCCAGCCCCATGCTCCTAACCACACACACACATGTCACTCTCCATTTTTTATAAATATGCTGTCTGGGCTGTCTAGACAGTGTGCTAAGGCTGGGCCCCTACCTGGGCTGCTGCCATCTCTCTCTGAGATGTGGGGGCCTTTCTATATAGATCTTCTTATTTTGGGTTTTCCAGAAGGGACAAGTGTGAGCCTCTCCCTTGATGTCCCCTGGCAGCAGCCCMCCTCGATGGCATCAGTGGACTGTGGCTATAGAACCAATGGAACTATGGGCAGCCACCTCCCGGGAGGAAGGGTCTGCTCCTGGCCCCAGGGCTGCTCGGCAAGCACCAGGCGGGCAGGCTGGGAGCCAGGGAGCACAGGCTGTGCACAGGGTATTTAGAACGAGCTGAGCCCCCTTCCTGTCCCATCCYACTTTAGAGAAAAAGCAAAGGTTTCTCCTTAAATACTTATGCCACTGAGGCAAGACCTGGACTTTCCTGCAGTCCTGTTCTTTGGAGCAGTGATTCTCAAACTCATGTCCCCAGAAATGGAGTCAGCTCTCTCGTGGGAAAAGAGGGAGCAGGTTGGAGTCTGGGTCTCTGACATATCTTTGACTTTGTAGACGTCACATGGATCTTGCAGGTGGGTATACTGAAGCTGGGCCCTCCCTTTCAATTTTGATGAGAGCTTTTTAGTTTGGTTGAGTGAAGCAAAGCAAGAGGAATGGGTACGAATGACCTAGATGACCTATGATGGTGAGGTTTGAGTGCTTTGAAAGCAGACCTGGGCCCTTAAAAAAAAAAAAAAAAAGAAAAGAAAGAAAGAAAAGAAAATTGCTCTGGCGAGACTGCAATGGCACTTCACTTCCAAAGACTCCCCTGGTTTGAAAGCTACTTGTTCCAGGGAAGTTTGAGGACCACTTGCTGTGGGGACAGAGGGAGGGAACAGCTTTGTCTTTGGTCCAGAACTTCATCCAACGGTGACCACATGCAAGTGAACTTCCCTGGCCCTGTGTCCCCCCCCCCCTAAACTCCCAGGGCAGGTGGGGTGAGTGGCAGGAGGTGGCGGTAACAGCGACAGCTTACCTCTGGGTAAGACCACTCTGGGGAGTAGTCGGTCACCATGAACACCCGTCCGCTCTGCTGCAGCATCCCCAGGGTGCCCTGGGCTGAGGCAGCTGAGACCACCTCAGCCACGTGCATGTAGGCCATGGTGCTGGCCCCGCCCTCGGCACTGCTCAGCTGCAGGCTGCCCTGCTGGGGGCTGCAGCAGGGGATGCACATCTCCGCCTGGGTGAAGGGGGCACGCGCCCCATCTTCTGACTGTGAGAGTGCGGTGCTGTCCCCTGACACCAGCTGGTGCCCGTAGATGGTGCCACTGCCCCCCTCCACAGAGATGAAGTCATTGATCAGGTCRGAGAACTGGTTGCTGAAGGAGATGTCAAAGTGGTCCAGGCTGAGCTCCATGTTGGAGGTGTTGCCGAGGCTGGGCTGGGCCACAGGGTAGAGTCCCTGCACCACGCTGCTCGGGAGGATGGGGACGCCGCYAGCACTGCGGATCACCCCGTTGGTCTCAGGTTGCAAGTAGTGCTCTGAGCCACAGGCTTGCAGCTCCCCAGACTTGAGGAGGACCTCACTCCCTTCAGCCGCCTGTGAGGTCTCCATGGTGACCTCCCCTTCCGTGGTCATGGCCTGGAAGTTGGCCTGGAACTGCATGAGGTGCAGGGAGGAAGTGGATTCTATCCGCGTCTCCACATGGCCGCTGCAAGAGCTGGTCTGGGACGAGGCCTCCGTTTTCACGGTGGGCATCACAAAGTTACCCCCAGAGTCACTTAGGCTGCCGTGGGCGTTCTGCTCGATGGGGAGGGGCTTGCTGGCGTCCTGCAGGAAGAAGCTGGGGGAGGGGGTCTGGTGGATGTGGGGGCTGTGGCCTGTCTGGCTGAAGCTAGACGTGTAGTCCTTGTTGGAGTCTATGGCACTGAAGTCCATCTGCTCCAGGGTGGTGCTGGGACTCAGACCGCCGCCCGACGGCAAGAGGCTGGAGCCGGCGGTCAGRGTGAGGGAGCTGGACGCTGCGGCTGCTGCCGAGGAGGAATAGGCCTCCTTGGCCATCTGCTGCTCGAAGGAGGTGTCCTCGGTCTTTATCTCCTTGGCGAGGACGCTGGTGAAGCCGAAGCTCCTCTCGGAGGGCGGCGAGTGCCGAATGTTGGTGCTGACCATCTCGGCTTTCAGGCCCCCGCCCCCATAGGTCTGGCCCTGCTTTGGGTTATTGAGGAAACAGTCGGGGTCAAAGTTCATGGTGGTCTCTGGAATCTTCCGGCCACCGTCGAGGGTGGTGGAGAGGACCAGCTCTTCAGACACGTTGGTGGGCAGCATGGACAGGCTCTCCGAGCTGCCYGTGGTGGGGAAGGCGAACTTGTGGCCGTCGGAGCTCACAGCCAGGACCAGGCCCTGAGAGGCGTCGGGCGAGAGGAGGTGGTGGTTGGGGCCGGCGGTGGGGGACATGGTGTACACAGCCTCGTTGGTGACCTCTGACATAAACACTGTGGCGCTTTGGGACAGGCCCCCCATCACAGAGGCCACTGCCATGCCAGACACGCCCGTGACCACGGGGCTGTCCACCATGTCCGGGTCGCTRTTGAGCCCACTGCTGATGGACACCGGGGAGCTCTGGGTGGTGTCGGGGACCTCCACCTGGTTGGTGGAGGAGACCTCGGTGCTGTTCTGGTGCAGCAGGGCGGGCTTGGCCACCTTGCCGTTCCTCTTCTCCCGGCTGGAGCCCTTGCTGTGGCTGTGCTCCTGCTTGCCCTCCGACACATCGTTGTGCTGCACCTCCGCGTGGCCGCCGTAGCCCCCGGTCCGCGGCTCCACCTTGGGCGAGATGATGCGGTGTTTGGCACTGTTGCACTTGTGGTGCACGCTGCTGCCCGCTCCTGGAAGCACACGCACGCACACACGGAGAGAGTCAGCGGGGGCCTGTGGCAGGCCCTGCACCCAGCACTGGGGACCTGGCTGGGACCCCACTCAGGCCACGGACCCTGCCCCTGGACACTGGGGCCCTGGGCCCACTTACCCCAGTCTTGGGGCTCTCCTGGGCTTACCGGGCCTTCCTCCAAAGACCAGAGGCCTAGATCTTTGCTGCTCTTTTCAAAGAGTAAGTGTCTGGCCTGTGGGAAGCTGGGAAGGAGAGGTTGAGCCTGCTCCTCCAGGAAGGTCCTCTCAACCACCGGAGAGAGGCACCCCCCACCTGCACGGGCTCTCCCTGGGGAGAGGGGCTCAGCCTGAAGTTGTTCCCCCTGGGTGGCTCTCAGCCCCCAGGACCAAGGATGGTTTTACCCCCTGCTCCAGAGGCAGAAAGTGACTTCAGGCTACCCTCCCTGCCATTCGGCTCAGCCCGGGTCTGTCCTCTGCTCTTTGGGGGACAAAAACCCTTCTAAGTCCTAAGCTAGAACACAGCCCCCTGCCTCCCCACCCCCCATCAGGCAGGACAGAGCCCCAGAGCAGAGYGCCTGGGAACTCTGGCCAGTCTGGCTGTGGCTCCTCCCCCACAGCCTGTGGACCCACTCAGTCAGGATTTTCAGTCTGTCTGATAAGGGTCACTTGGCTTTTGATGAAAGGGTGGATTCTCTGCTCTAGTCTCACCATCAAGACTCCTGAATGCACAGAGACTTTGCAGGGCAGTGACCCGACCCTCCTGTGGAAGTATCTAATTAAGGCAGCCAAGGGAGTAGAGAAGCACATTCCAAAGAGCAAATACTATCATCAGACAAGCCGGCCCATTAGGACGAGGGCCAGGGGCGCCTTACCATCTTGGAGGAGGCAGAGGTTAAAGAAAGAGGTTTAGCTTGAGTGGTCCCCTTGCCTCAGGGCAGACGTCCCTGAAAAACCTYGCACTGGGAACCTGGGAACATGCTGAGGATCCTAGAGAACCTGGGCAGTGCGTGGCTGGGCCCCAGGATCTCCACTCCCCAGTGCTGCTGTCCACCATTCCATGCCCATCCCTCGAGGGAGCCTGACGCTTTGAAAACGGGTCTCACTTGCCCAAAGTGGGCTGATGGGCCAGTTGTGCAGGGCAGGGCCAGGATGGCACACTGGTTTTGCCTGGTTCCTTGTGCCCTCTCCCTACGGGATACAGCAGCAGTGCCCTGGGCCTGGTGTGCCCACCTGCCCCCCGGGGTCCCGCTCACCCAGGCTGCCGGTGCAGAGGCAATTGTGGGTTCGGGGCTGGGGCTTGGTCTGGTGGCTGTCAAGGATCTGCTGCACCAGCTGCTCCACCGAGAAGCCTGAGCTGCTGTTCCCATTGCTGCAGGTCCACTTGATGCCATGGACTGTGGAGAGGGCGGAGGCAGACAGAGGGGCGTCAGAGGCTGCAGTAACAGGGGAGGCCCTATGAGGGGCTGAGGGTGGCAACAGGCCCCATTAGACAGCAGCCCACTCTGCTGAGGGCCTGGCTCAGGGAGGATCAGTGAGCAGATGAAGGGGGAGGGTGGCGGAGGCCGGGCTGCCCTCCACTGGTCTCCTGCTCCATCGGAACTCTGGACTCTTCCCCTGGCTCCCTTTCCCTTCCCCATGGGGTAGACCACTTAGAGTCTTGCTTTCATTTTCCCAAAGGCCAAGGGCACAAGGTGTCTCTTCCAGGGAGGCCAAGTGGAGGAGAAAAGGAGCGAGGCCGGGGGACCTCCGCAGACTGCAGGGGTCTCGTGGAGGCTCAGAGGATGGAGGATGGTGGGGTGTCCAGTGAGCAGGAGGACAGGTGATGCCCCAGGAGTGTCTGGGAGGAGGCCTGTCCCCCTCAGAGGAAGACTTTGGCTCTCCGCCTTCCCCAGACTTCCCTGCCCTGAGGGGTTTGCAGGAGGGACAGAGAAAGGGAGGGGCTGAAGGGCACCCCCCAAGGCTGCCACAGTGGGGGCCTCATGCTAACTGGCCACTGGCCATCTGAAAGAGCTGTACTGGGGCTTCAGGGCAATTCTGGCCCCCTGCAGCCCCTGGAGGTGGGGCGGGGCYGCCCTGCTGGGGCTTGGCCGAGGCCAAGAAGACTGGACTTGGGAAGGAAGCTTCTGGCTGTGAGATCCGCCTCTGTTTCTCCTCRTGCCTTCATTTAGATCCTCAGGGGTCTCTCAAAGGAAAGGAAACCAGAGTGTGGTGTGCTCTGGCAGGAATCCCCCTCGCTTTCTTCACCTCCTTGCCCTCTGCTCCGCTGGACGTCTGCAGGGCCCTGTTTCCAGCACCTTCACCCGTCCCCACGGGAAGAAGGGGGTGGGGAGCTGAGTGGCCCTGACTCCCAGCTTGCCGYGCCGCCTGCTTTGAAGATGTGCTCACCTGTTCAGCGCCCTAGGTGATGGGGGAGTGCGGTGGATGGTGGCATTTACAGCCGGCCTCTCGGTCGGTGGGAAACCACTGTCCTGTCCTGGGCTCCCCAGAGGAGTTCCCCAGCAGCCCAGGAGGCCTTGGTTCCTGCTGGTGAGGCTGCTGGAGTTTGTTCTTCAAGGGACTCGTCCCCAAGTGTCGGAAGGGGAGGCCCAGGCCAGGACTTGTGGACCCTCATCATAGCCACAGAGCTCTATGGGCAAATGACCCTCTCCCTGGAAATCCCATACAGGGGACAGATAACAGCCGAAAGRGCCTCGCGGAACCAGGAGTGATGGGTCAGGGGCTCCCAGCCTGGCCCCTGCTCAGGGCCCTCCTTGGCCAAGGACCTTTTCAGATTCATTTACAGATGAGAAGACAGAGGCTTGGGGGAGGGGCGATGACACCCCATGTCACATCCAGGGGTTGGAGAGCAGAACTTGAGACTCCCCGCTGCTTCTAGCACATACCAGTTCATAGTCGGTCCATCGTTGGCTGACCCTGGCTGTGCCCAGGCCCTAACCCAGAGATTCTGATGTCCTGGGTTGGAGCGTTCCAGGCATTTATGTATATAAGAAAACCCAAGAGGGCCTGCTAGGCCAGGAGCAAAGCCGCCTGCCCTTGGGAGCTTCCACCAGTGGGCACTTTGAGCACATGCCCATTACAAAGCCAGGCCAGATGTTCTCAGGGAAACTTCCCAGGGGTTTGAACTTGGCTCTCTGGAGAGATGAGCTGTTCTCAGCAGCTGCAGTGCCGGCTTCTGGCCTCCTGGCCACACCCCAGCCAAGGGTCTTGGGGTCAGGTGGGCTTGCTTCTCTCCCTGYGGACACCTTGCTTGCTCCTCCCCTGGGCTGGAGCATCTCCAGGCACCTCTGCCCCGTGCCTCTGCTCTGACAGCCACTGCTCCGTCCTGTTTCTCCTCCGGCCCCCGCTGGGGGTGCAGTGTCCACACCCTCTCTGCCTCCTGCTCTCTTCCTTGTGTGGTGAAGGTTACAAAACGAAAACCCGGCGAAGGGTGACAGATTGTGAGCAGAGACTTTCTGGATGCTTAATGCAAATTACCCACTGTCTTGGCACATCCAATATGCAGATCGCCCCCCTCCCCGCCCCCTCCTCTGAGGCGGTGAGCTGTTAGTACGGAATATCAAGTACCATCAAGACGGCTTTTAACATGTCACGCTTGGCTTCCCGACWCGTAATGAATCAGCGGGAAGGAGATTTCTAGGGGAAGAAGGCGCGTCATGAAAGGAAGGTTAATAAACACGCACCCTGGCCTCCTTCCCGGGGCCTCCCTCCCAGAAAAGCAGCAACACGGAAACCTCACCAGAGCCCACTGGMTCAAACGTGAGGTCACGACGTGTCACTTGAGGGCAGCATGGAAAGAGATAAGGGGTTCCTGGGAAAACAAGCCTCTGGCGGCTCCGGGTCCTGTGCGTCCCCTCCTGCTCACGGTACTTGGCTCCAGGACGCGGCCTGCCAGGTCTGGGAGGACAGTGTGTTCCAGCCCGGCTTGAAACAAAGCCAGGAGAGGGACCCTTTCTTAGTTTCCAGTGGTCCCTGGGCCAAGCTGGGGGTGGAGATGGACCTGTGTCCCCAAGAAGGCAGGGGCAGGGGAGAGCAGGCGCCAGGCGTCGGGGGCGGGTGATAAGCTGGCCTCGGTGTGGGTGGGCCTCTATAGGGCAGGGCTGTCCAGGAGGGCCCCACTGGCCACCAGGAAACTGCCTGCTGGGCACCTTCAGAGCTCCCTCTGGTGGCTCCCCAGCTGTCCCCTGCTGCCTGGGGATGCAGCCTGGGGAACACGTTGTCTCTGAGGGGACTGTCTACAGCATGGCCGTGTCAGGATGGAAGGCTGGGCGGCAGGTGCAGGGACCCTCCTGCCCACTCTCGTGTTGACCTGGCTGTTCGTGATGTCTACTCTAATTATGACCTGCAGCGAGGCAGCGGCCCTCTCACCAACACGGATAATCAGCAGCGTGTGGCGTCTTTGGAGAGCATCTTCCGTGATCACTCTACCCGAGAGGCCACCAGCCGCTGCGGGGAGAGGGCTGYGCGAAGGTGCAGCCTCAGCCTGCGTGGGGCAGCGCAGCCAGGCCCCTGGATTACGGCTGCTCCCTCCCGGGCTCTTGGGAAGAGGTGGAGGGTGTGGGGCACACAGACGAAGCAGCACACCCCCGTTTTCCCCTGTGACGGACTGAACTTTACCCTACATTCAYAGCCCCGACCCAAGTGTGGCAGGGGTCTTTAGGTCACCGAGGGGGTCCCCTATCCAACAGGACTGGTATCCGTAGGAGAAGAGGAGGGGACGCCGGGGCTCTTGTGCACAGAGCGAAGGCCAGGTGAGGACATGAGAAGGCAGGCCTTTGCAAGGCCTCACCAGAAACCAGCCCCAATGTCACCTTGACCTTGGGCTCCCAGTCTCCAGAAGTGGGAGACCACACGTTCTTGTGGCTTCAGCCCCTGTCCAGGTGTTCTGTCGCAGCGGTGTCTTGGCCAGTTTTGGGCTGGGTGATAGAATACCGCAGACGGAGATTTATAACGAGCAGAACTTTCTTCCCATGGTTGTGGGGGCTGGAAGTGCAAGATCAAGGGGCGGGACCCAGCGAGGGCTTTCTGTCAGCCTCATCCCGTGGGGGAAGGGCACAGATAGAGAACCCTGGGAGTCCTTTTGGATGGTGGCCTCAGTCCGTTCCCAGAACTCCTCGCCTTAGGCCTCCCCCAACACAGTTGCCCTGGGGATTACATTTCAACCTGGGTTTGGGGGAGRTCCTCACACCATGCAGGCAAACTAATGAGGCCCCCCCCGGGCCCCAGCCTCAGCTCGCTGGGGCTGTCTGGCTGGAGCCCTGCGAGCCTCTGGGAGAGACTCACCCTGCCCTGCCCGTGCTCTGCACACCTACGCACGCGTGTGCGTGCGTGCGCGCGTGTGTGTGTGTGTGTGTGTGTGTGTGTGCGCGTGTGTGTACACATGCGTGCAGCTCAAGGGACCCTGACGACAGGGACTTTCAGGTGTCCCTCTCCTCTACCACCTTAGATCCTGCCGTTCTAGCACAGCCCAGCTCAGGTCCCCACCGCCTCCTGGAAGCCTCCCTGGTTCCCACCTCGGGTCGCCATCCCCACTGGAGCCGGAGCCTGCATCAGGACTTGCTGAACTGTTCACTGTGCCGTCCCCCAAGCTTAAAACCCGGCCTGGCACAGAGTAGATGCTCAATGAAGGTTGGTTGAAGGAAGGTGTGCAYGGCCAGGGTCTCCACCCCGCGCGCCCTCTCTAGCACCCTCCCTATGTTAGTTCGTTCTCCCCCAGCCCTGCAGTGAGCTAGCTGTAAGGGGAACTCTTCTCTTGATCACACCAACAGCCAACCAATGGTATTTACCGAACACCTTGTGCCAGGCACCATGTGAGCTGATGCTGACTCCAGTATAAAAAGAAATGGCAGTAACCTGCACCCCTAATGACACCCGACAGTGGGCAGTGCCCTGGGCTGGGCGGTCTCAGGCAGAGCTGTGGTTCTCCAGGGGTGGCCTCCCCTACCTGGGATGTTAGMAATACTCATTCTCAGGTTCCACCCAGACCAGTGATCAGAAACTCTGGTCCTCTGGGGGTTTGGAGGCACACTTCTTTGAGAACCATGGACAGAGATGTTACTAATCTCTCAATGAGACTTTGAGGCAGAATTATTATTCCATGTTTTTCCTGTGAAGACCAAGACTCAGAAAAGTTATGCAACTTGCCCAAGGTCACACAGCAGATGGGTGGGGCTGGGAGGAGTTGCAGAATCTCACTTTTCCACTAAGCTGCCAGGCTGGCCTGCATTTTCCCTGGACATACTCCTAGAGGTGGTGCGGAAATTCCGAACAGCTGACCAGGGGGAAGGGGAGGTGGAGATGCCCCTCTGTGTGCAGCTGGACTTACTGTTCTCTCTGGAGAGGAGCCTGGCTTCCCCAGCAGCCCTGGGGACCCGGACACCTGGAGCAGGCCAGGTGC